ACTCTCTTCTTCCCCAATTTCCCCAATAAAAGTGTGCAGGGCGGGGGGCGGGGCGCACAAACCGTGTCGGAAAACATGAAGGGAAATGGAAACCCGATGGTTATCGCGAGCTGGTTCCAAAGAGATTACTCGGCCTGGGCATGCGCGGCGAGGCCGTGTCTCTGCGTGGAGGGCCTTGTCCATCTCCCGTGGGGACCCGTGGCGGCCTCTACTGGAATCGGCCTGTCTTGTCTGTGTGCCTAAGCAGTTGGGCCAGGGACCAGCGTTCGCACGATGACTGTCATCCTCTTCCCAGGCTGGTCTTGAATTCCTGGTGTCAACCGATCCTCATGCCTCAGCCTCCCAAAGTGCTGCGATTACAGGCGTGGGCCGCCGCGCCAGGTCCCGGCTCCGACCTTGCACGGCAGTGGGACCTGGGCGAGCTCGAGTCGCCCCTCGCGGGGTCTCCATTTCCCCTCGGTCTACAAAGCAGGGACCACAAACTCCGTCTCCCAGGGCTGTTCACGGAGCAGTGTCCGGTGCCAAGTTCCTGGCACCTTCTAGAGGCGCAAGTCAGAGAGCAGGAGCAGTTGGGCTTCACGAATTCCTTTTAATTTTTAACGGCGGTAAGAAAGGGTCCTAACCTAAAATTGCCCGTCCTGACCGCGCGTGTATCGCGGTTGTTGTGCAAGAGATCTCTAGGACTTTTCCATCTTGCAAAACTGAAACTGTACTCAACAAACAGTTTCCCATCCCCCCCTCCCCCCCGCACCGCAGCCCGCGGTGGTGGTTTCTGTCAACACTGATTGGATGGGTGTTTTTAAAGCCATGGTGCAACTTGGGAGGCCGAGGCGGGAGGCTCGCCGGAGCCCGGGTGTTCTAGTGCAAGGTGTTCACTTTGTCTTTGTTTTTTTTTTTTTTTTTTTTGAGACAGAGACTCATTTCTGTTGCCCAGGCTAGAGTGAGTGCCGTGGCCCCAGGCTGGTCTTGAATTCCTGGTGTCAACCGATCCTCATGCCTCAGCCTCCCAAAGTGCTGCGATTACAGGCGTGGGCCGCCGCGCCAGGTCCAACCTCCGACCGTCCACGGCAGTGGGACCTGGGCGAGCTCGAGTCGCCCCTCGCGGAGTCTCCATTTCCCCTGGGTCTACAAAGCAGGGACCACAAACTCTGTCTCTCAGGGCTGTTCACGGAGCAGTGTCCGTGCCAAGTTCCTGGCACCTTCTAGAGGCGCAAGTCAGAGAGCAGGAGCAGTTGGGCTTCACGAATTCCTTTTAATTTTTAACGGTGGTAAGAAAGGGTCCTAACCTAAAATTGCCCGTCCTGACCGCGCGTGTATCGAGGTTGTTGTGCAACAGGTCTCTAGGACTTTTTCATCTTGCAAAACTGAAACTGTGTACTCAACAAACAGTTTCCCATCCCCCCCTCCCCCCCGCACCGCAGCCCGCGGTGGTGGTTTCTGTCAACACTGATTGGATGGGTGTTTTTAAAGCCATGGTGCAACTTGGGAGGCCGAGGCGGGAGGCTCGCCGGAGCCCGGGTGTTCTAGTGCAAGGTGTTCACTTTGTCTTTGTTTTTTTTTTTTTTTTTTTGAGACAGAGTCTCACTCTGTTGCCCGGGCTAGAGTGAGTGCCGTGGCGTCAGCCTCGCTCACAGCAACCTCAGACTCCTGGGCTCAAGCGATCCTCCTGCCCCAGCCTCCCGAGTAGCTGGGACGACAGGCGTGTGCCACCGCGCCCGGTTAAAAGACGATCACTTGGACTCCGAGGCCTGCTCAGGGGGCTTCCCGGTGGAGGGGCCTCTCTCCGCTGCACCTCGAGGCTGTATCCCGAGCTCGACCCATCTCGGCCTCAGCTGTTTTCACGGCCGACAACGAGACTCGCTGGAAGCGGCGCTGCACGCAGGCGCGGAAAGCTCCCGCCTTTAAATTCGAGGAGCCCCGGGAGGCGGCCGGTTCTTTAGGCTGCTGGCCAGGACGCCTCCGCAAAGCTGGCGGGTCCCCTCCCGCCCGGGAGAAACCCTGCACCCTCGGTTTCCCCTTTGAAGCCTTGGAAACCGCCCTCCGTTTCTTTTAGGGCTCCCCGATCCTCGCCAGCTCGCCCCAGTTCGTTCCCGTGGCCATGCGACCCGCCTGCAGCACCCGGGCGTCTTGCAAAGCTGAGACTCCGTCCCCGTGCAAGGCGAGCCCCCACTGCCTCCCCCGGCCCCGGCGCCCACCGTCCGGTTCGTGCCTTCCGCCTCCGTGGTTCCGCGACTCCAGGGACCTCCTGTGGCCGCATCACCTGGCATTTGCCTTTCGTGATCGGCTTGTTCCGCTCAGCGTGATGTCCCCTGGGCTCACCCACGCCGGGGCTTGTCTCAGGACCCCCTTCCCTTTCGGGGCTGAACGACACCCCGCCGCGCGCACGCACCGCGGTTTGTGCGTTCCTTCTTTCGCGGGCGCCCGGGCGGTCTCTGCTTTCTGACCGTCGGGGCTCGAGCCGCACGGAGCGCCCCGCTTTCCCCTCCAACGAGCAAGCGAGTGACAAAAGTCGCGGCCAACGTGTACGCTTGAGACGGCCCGGCGGATGCCAGGGCGGCTCGTGCCTGGACACCACCGTCCTGACCACTTCCCTCGGGAACCCCCGGGGTCTCCCTGGGCCGAAACTAACTCAGGGTTGGGTGGCAGCTGCTGGTGACATTGGGATTCTTCCAAAACATGGGATTCCCGGGTCTAGACCTACGCCCAGAGGTCAGTGGAATTAAGAAGAATGAGTGGGCTGGCTTGCTTTGGTTTTTTGTAATTTTTTATTTTATTTTTTTAATTTGAGACAGGGTCTTGCTCTGTCACCCAGGCCAGAGTGCAGTGGTGCAATCGTAGCTCACTGCAGCCTCCAACTCCTGGGCTCAAGCCATCCTCCTGCCTCAGCCTCCAGAGTAGCTGGGACTATAGGTGTGCACCAGCATGCCTGGCTATTAATATTTTTTAAATTTTTCGTAGAGATGGGGTCTTGCTATGTTGCCCAGGCTGGGCTGGAACTCTTAGCCTTAAAGCGATCCTCCCGCCTCGGCCTCCCAAAGTGCTGGGGTGACAGGTGTGAGCCACCACTCCCGGCCACCAGTGTCCCTCTCTCTCTCTCTAGCAGCCACCATTCCTTGATCGAGCACCTACTATGCGCCAGGCATAGCGCAGGCCCCGTCCAGCCAAGACCGCTGCTGACAAACCCGTTCTACAGAGGGTGCCGGAAGGCTGGGAGCCTCCGTCTCACGCCCGGCCCCAGCCCTCATGGCACAGCCGCCCCCAGCGACCCGCACAGACGCGGCGAGAGAGATGGCTGGGAACAGGCCGAACCTGGGCGTGAGTCGGCACGCAGCGAGGAGCCCCGGCGAGGTGGCCTGAGTCCCCCGGGGCCGTGGAGGAACCGAGACTTCAGGATGTGTCTGCGGCTCGGGGCTCCACGGAAGCTCACCGGGAGCGTGCGGGGTTCTGCCCGGGACGGCCGGGACGGCGCCTGGGGCCCAGCGAAGGCCAGGCGCCAGGACGTGCTGCCCGGAGTCCCCACTCCTGGGAGCTTCGTTTTTGTTTCTCGTTTCCTGTGTTTCCCCCCTCACTTTGGGACATCTCAGAGCCCCGAGGCTGCACACGGGGCTGTGGCGCGAAGTGCGTCTCTTGGCCTTGGGACAGTCCCCAAAAGGCCAACCTGGGGTCAAGGTTGAAAGCAGAGGTGGCGGAGGCGGCGTCCGGAACGTTCCGGAGCCAGAGCCGGCAGGACAGCGGCCTCCGCGGCCCAACACTAGTCCCCAACGCTGCGCGGTTTAGAGCCCTGGCCCAGCGGGGCCAGACAGCCCGGCCAGACGTTCCTGCCCGACCCCGGCCCGAGAGGGTCCACCCGCCCCGACCCGAGAGGACCCACCCGCCCCAGCCCGAGAGGGTCCACCTGCCCCGGCCCGAGAGGGTCCACCTGCCCCGGCCCAAGAGGATCCACCTGCTCCAGGTGGGAGGGTGGGGGAGCTCCACCCAGAGGGCCAGGCACTCGCCCAGGCCATGGCCAACAGGCATCCAGGGCCAACAGACCCCAAGCCCCGTCTACACTGCACACCGCACACTCTACCCGGCATCTCCAGGAAGCTGGGGCCGACAGACCCCAAGCCCTGTCTACACTGCACACTCTACCTGGCATCTCCAGGCAGCCCAGGCCGACAGACCCCAAGCCCTGTCTACACTGCACACTCTACTTGGCATCTCCAGGCAGCCCGGGCCGACAGACCCCAAGCCCTCTACCCTGCACACCACATACTCTACCCGGCATCTCCAGCCACTGGAGCCAATGGATCCAAGCCCCATCTACACCAAACACTGCACGCTCTACCCAGCATCTCCAGGCAGCCGGGTCCAATGGATCCAACCAAGCCCTGTCTACACCGCACACCACACGCTTTACCCGGCATCGTCTCGGCCATAGGGTTAGAAAGTCCGTCATCCCAGCAAGCCTTGGATCTCCCCATGGCTGGCTGCTCGGCCCGTGGGACGGGCGCAGGGGCAGACCCGACGCCCCCACCCAGGCGAGGCAGGGGAGGCCAGGGCTGTCCCCTGGGGGCCGGAGCAGGTTCCCGGGGAGCTGGAGCTCCAGCAAGGCCTCGGAGGGGGACGAGAATTTGCGGCACAGACTCGCGGGAACAGCCAGGCTAAGGTGGGGGCCGGGGCGGGCAGCGGGGCTGGAGGGCCCGGAGATTCGGCTGGAAGCTGGGCTGCCGTGGGGGAGGGCTGGGGGTAGTAGAGGCTTAGAGGAGAAGGAGTTTCCGGCGTGTTCTTTTTCTTTGAGACAGAGTCTCACTTTGTCACCCAGGCTGGAGTGAGTGCCGTGGCGTCAGCCTCGCTCACAGCAACCTCCAACTCCTAGGCTCAAGCGATCCTCCTGCCTCAGCCTCCTGAGTAGCTGGAGCTACAGGTGCATGCCACCACGCCCAGCCAGTTTCTAGCGTGTTCTAAAGAGCCACTGACACGTGGCAGCCTCCCCGAAGCAGATCCCCATGGGGTCCCCACTGCTAGCCTTGAAGCTGTGGCTTTGGGGCCACCCATGCTGGAGGTCACGACCCCACCGGAGGCCCCAGAACTCCCCAGGGGGACAGCCGGGAGGCCTGGCGGACACCCCAGACCTGCGGAGGGACCCCAGGCCCCTGCGCGAAGCCAGACCTGGCCCGCACGGCAGCCCCGGCCCCCCAGGGACCTTCTCGCCGCCAGGCTCTGCTGGCCTTGGAGCAGAGCCTCCGCGCTCAGTGGCTCGAGCTCGAATCCCCCGAGTTTCCAGTCCGCCACGCGTCCCCTGCTTTCCATTTCCAGCTCCGCTCCGCCGTGGTGGGAGAGCAGACCTTCCGCAATTCCGACCCTTTCGGTGGAGGGAGGCGGATTCCGGGGCCCGTCTGGGGGAGCCCCATGCGCACTTGGGAAGACGGTGGCCCTGCGTCGTGGGGCGGGGTGTTCTGTAGACGCCCCCTAGGTCTAGCGGGTTTAGAGACGCCCTGCATTTAAAAAAGAAAAAAAAAGGAAGGGAAAAATAAAAGCGCAAAACAGAAGGGCTTGTCAGCAGAACGTTCTGTGCACGTTGTTCCAGGTTCCAACCGAGCCGAGCCCTGGCACGCCCTGTCCCCACCGCCGGCAGGGCCAGCTCTGCCCGTGGGGCTGTTTGTGTCTGTGGCCCAGGGAGCCTCAGGAGGGGCGGCCAGTGTCTGCTTGCAGGGGGATTTGGACCTCTGGGCCTCAGTTTCCCCTGCGCCTGGAGGAGGGAATTCCCAGCTCCAGGCGCAGGAGGCCGGTTGCAGGGGTGGCGGGGGAGGGGGCTGGTTGCACGGGGCGGCGGGGGGAGGGGGCCGGTTGCACGGGCGGCAGGGAGGAGGGGGCCGGTTGCACAGGTGGCAGGGGGGAGGTGGCCGGTTGCACGGGGCGGCGGGGGGAGGGGGCCGGTTGCACGGGCGGCTGCAGGCTGCGCGGCCGGCAGGGTGTTGGCAGCACCTTCGCCGCAGCCCTGCCACCTCCCTGCGCAGCCTGGGCAGCTGGGAAACCCCAATAGCTGGCTGCGCATCCCCCACCCCGGGCTGCCGTGCCCGTTTCGCAGAAGAGGAAACCGAGGCCCCGAGTGGGGCGGGCCACAGCCGGCGTGGAGGCGGCGGGTGCGAATGCAGACACGCAGGGTACCCGGCCGTGCCAGCCGCCCCCGGCCGAGCCGCGCAGAAAACACGAAGTCCTCTCCGCTCGTGAGCGCCCGGGAGCCAGGGGTAAAAGGAAAACGAGCCGGCCCAGCAGCCCGCCGTCCGGGTGGGGACCCCACAGAGCTGGAGACAGAGAGCGGAAGGGACGTCGGTGCCCCCCGTGCTCATGGCCGACCGGTGGCCTCGGCCTGTGGCCCTCTCGCGGGATGCACAGGCGCCGTGTGCTCCGTGGAATATTACTGGGCCGTCAAAGGAAGGAAGTTCCGGCACTCCCCGCAGCGGCCGTGAACCCCGAGGTCACCGTGCTCAGCGAAACACAGCAGACCCGAAAGGACGAGCACAGTGGGACTCCACTTACAGGTTGTCCCTGCAGAGTCCTCCAATCCACAGGGACAGGAAGGGGACGGCTGGGGGCCGGCAGGACGGGGAGGTGGCGTTTCACGGGAACAGGGTCTCGGTGGGGGAAGGTGGAAAGTGGCCTCTCGGGACTGCGGACAACAGCCCCGCCACCCCCTACCCCCGCGGGGCTCCTGGGACCCCGGATTCTGTGAGGGGAAGGAAACGGGGTGCACCGGCCGCATGTGGGCGCTGAGCTGCTTCCGGGGCGCAGAGAGGAGTGGAGGCGTTGCAGCGGCCAGGCCCGCCTCCCCCCCGCTGCCGCTGGACACCGGGGCGGGCGGTCGTCCTCCCCGGGTGCCCCGTGGAGGCCCGAGAGGGAGAACGGGTTGAAGACGGTGTACGGCCGGGGCGAAGGAGCCCGGGCCGAGGTCACAGGGGCCGTGACCACCAGACCTGGGGTGACCACGTGCCGAGGATTCGGCGCCCACGCCGAGCGGGGCTGGAGGCCGAGCCACCTCGGAGTCCCATCTGAAATTAGCCAAACAACTAAAAATATATAGAAAAAATGAGCCGGGCATGGTGGCGCATGCCTGTAGTCCCAGCTACTGAGGAGGCTGAGGCAGGAGGATCGCTTGAGCCCAGGAGTTGGAGGTCGCTGTGAGCGAGGCTGACGCCACGACACTCACTCTAGCCTGGGCAACAGAGTGAGACTCTGTCTCAAAAACAAAAAACAAAAACCCAGAGCCCCTAACCCGGCTGTTCTCAGGTCGGAGCACCCGGACACTCCGACCCAGGGGACGCGTGGCGATGTCGGGAGACACTTTTGGTGGTCACGGCTTCAGGAGAATGGATGTTCCGGCACGGAGCAGGTGGACACCGGGGATGCTGTTCGTCCTACAACTGGCCGGGGCACAGTGGCTCATGCCTGTAGTCCCAGCGCTTTTGGAGGCCGAGGCAGGAGGATCGTGCCTGAGGCCAGGAGTTCAAGACCAGCCTGGGCAACATAGTGAGACCCCGTCTCTACCGAAAAAAAAGAGAAGAAAATTTACTGGACATGGTAGCTTGTGGTCCCAGCCACTTGGGAGGCTGAGGCAGGAGGATGGCTTGAGCCCAGGAGTTTGAGTCTGCAGTGAGCTATGATGGCGCCGCTGCACTCCAGCCAGGATTGTCTCCAAAAAACTACCCAAAAAAAGTCCTACCGTGCACAGGGCGGCCCCCACACCAGAGAGTGACCCAGCCCACGTGTCCAGAGTGCTGCGGTTGGTACACGCTGGCCTAGGCACACGCCCTGGTGACTGTCACAGGCCGGCTCTGACCTGTCACCTTGGGACTCCCCGAGGTGCTGCTGGGCCCGGTGCTGACTCAGCCTCGTCGGTGGGGCCAGGCGCCGAGCCAGGAGTGAGCCTTACAGACACTTGTCCCCCGACAGCTCCCGCTGCCCCTCCCCCCTGCCACCGGCCCGGGTGCGGGGGGGGGTGTCTCCCCGAAACACAGGAAATCGCTTCTGCGTCTTTCGCTTGTTACTACGTCCATTTGGGGACCTTCACCCCTTCCAACCCTTTCCTGGGGACAATCCAAAATGACAGGATGCCCTGGGGACAATCCCAAATGATAGCCTGTGTGTACACACACACACACACGCACACGCACACGCACACGCACACATGCACACACACGTACACACACACACACACGCACAACATGCACACACACACGCACACGCACACATGCACACACGTACACACACACCTTCGATGGCGATTAGGCTGCAGCATGCAGCGTGAAGCGTTTTCGTTTTCCATATTTAACGTTCTCTGCACGGGCACGCACGCCTTGCATAGGCGGGACACGTGTTCCCTCGCTGTGTCCACACACACACGGGGCCCTGAGAACGGGCCCAGACACTGGGGTTTTCCTCGTGGCCTTTTCCCGGGTGGCATTTGCCACTGACACCTAACTTCCTGGCACGGAGACACCTTCTTGCCGGCAAAAGCGACGATCTCTCAGAGCCCAGCGCGGCCTTTTCCCACCGAGCGCCGGCGAGGGTTGGGGCCGGGTCGTTCTCTGGGGGGGGGGGGCTGAGCGCGGCAGGGCGTGTGACAGCGACCCCCCCACACACAACCTCGGCTGTTGACAACCAAAACCGTCTCCCGACCCGGTGGCATTTGGCTGCCGGCCGGGGTGCAGGGGAGATTCGGTGGGAGCCAACAGGCAGGCTTCAGGGCAGGGCAGAGTGCCCAGGGGCATCGGAGACCGCCGGGCACCGGTGTCTGCCGAAACGTACAGCTGCACGCCCGAGAACGGCACTTTCTACTCCACCTGTCGGGCCACTCGGGAAACAGAAACTCAGTCCCGCTACGCCGTCCCTCATTGCACTCAGAAGAGGCGACCT